GCAGAGCGGTATCAGGCACCTCCTTCACCTTCTACTGGACCAGTACTAAGAAAGTCAGAGTGGTATCAGGCACCTCCTTCACCTTCTACCTGAGCAGTACTAAGAAAGGCAGAGCGGTATCAGGCACCTCCTTCACCTTCTACCTGAGCAGTACTAAGAAAGGCAGAGCGGTATCAGGCACCTCCTTCACCTTCTACCTGAGCAGTACTAAGAAAGGAAGAGTGGTATCAGCATGGCCAGATCTAGGGGGGTGCTGGGGTGGGCTAAGCCCCCCCACAGATTCATTTGGTGCCCCCCCCAAAGCCAGCAGTCCTCTTCTGCCTCCACTCCAGGACACTCTGCCCAACCCCTCATAGTGCCAGGCAGCACAGCCCAGAGCTGCCTTCACACTAACTTTCTTCTGCTAGCCTGGCCCCTATTCCTCCTCTCTCCAAGTCTGACAATGGCAGGGCAGAAGATGGCAGTTTGTTTCCAGACATCCCCTTCTCTCCTCCCACCCCCGCTATCAGCAATCGTCTGCCACAGAGTCCCATCTCCTGTCCAGCACAGAGACAATCTCTGCTGAACTCCAGGCAAGTGAGATGAAGGGGAGACCAGGGAAGTACTGAGTCAGACCAGGGGAAGGGGCCAGCAGGTGTAGGACCTGGAATGTCATGGATGATGATTCTCTGTGGAAAGCAGGGGCAAGGCTTAAGTGCCTTTTTATGTTTGACTGTCTGTGCTGCTTATTATACAGCCCTCTGCCTGTACATCATGGGGACCCTACAATGAACACAGGAGGAATAGATGGGGACAGAGAGGGGGATATAGAGACAGAGCAAAGGAAAAAGAGAGATGCAGAATATTTTCCCCATTTCTATTTGGGCTGAAAGGCAAGGCAGTGATCACTCTCTATCATTTGCAGTTTAACCACTTAAGTCCAGGAATGATGACTCTAGAATTGCTGCTCTCACTCTGACACTCATGGTGATACCTCACATTAGTGATACCATTGCTGTTTACTAGTGATGGGCGGAACACCCCCCTGTTCAGTTCTCGGTCGAACATACGAACGAAAGTTTGACTGCGATCTTCGAACTTAATGCAAGTCTATGGGACTCAAACTTGTAAATTCCAAAAGTAGAAGGCTTACCGTATTTTTCGCCGTATAAGACGCACTTTTTCTTCCCCAAAACTGGGGGGGGAAAGTTGGTGCGTCTTATACGACGAATAGAGAGAGAATCCGTGAGGAGCGGCCACGGCCGTAGGAAAGGCCGCGGCTTTGGCCTATCTCTGGAGCGGTCGGCCATCTTAGTACACCCAGCGGTGCGTGCTGACGTCATCACCCCCTCTGCTCGTGGATCAGCCCTGAAGACCGGAACGGCGCGGGAACACGGCGAGAGGAACGCGCGGAGCAAAGGTAAGTGAATTGACACTATATGGGGGGATGAATTACTATATGGGGGGATGAATTACTATATGGGGGATCAACTACTATATGTATTGGGTTCAGAATCTTTTTTTTTCTAGATTTTCCTCCTTTAAAATTGGGTGCGTCTTATATTCCGGAGTGTCTTATATGGCGAAAAATACGGTATATGCAAGTTATAAAAGGGGTATGGGGACTCGGGTACTGCCCTCAGAGACAAGTCAGTGAAAAACAAAAAATTTATAAAGTACCATTTTTAAAGGGGCAGTTATTTTTCATTGCCTAAAGTAAAAAAAAAAACATTCTTTTAAATATGATGTCTGGGGGGGGGGGTCCCCTTAAACTATCTGCAAAGATGCACATCTGTACAATGTACAGAACCTGCTGTAGCAGGACTGACTTTTTTTTTTTTAAATGAAAATCACAGCATGGGGTTCACCTCCCCAATCCAAACCAGACCCTTTCGGTCTTGTAGGCAGGTTAGAAGGGAGGACCCCACAGTAAAAAATTATTTTTAAAAAAACGTGTGGGGTTCCCCCTAATAGCCCTACCAGGCCCTTTTAGGCCTAGTAGGACTTTTTAAGGAGAACCCCCACCCCCCAAAACTGGGGGGGGGGGGAGCATGGAGTCCCCCCTAAAATGCCTACCACACCCTAAATCTGGGCACAGCCCACATGCCGTCAACAATAACATGCCTCCTCCCCCCCCCCGAAAGCACCTTGTCCCCATGTTGATGGGTACAAGGGCCTCTTCCTCACAACCCCGGGATGTGGTTGTGGGGATCTGTGGAGGGTGACTTATTGGAATCTGGAAGCCCCCTACCCATTCACCAAAAAAAAGTACAATGTGAATAAAAAGTCCTTTACTTAAAAAAAAAAAAAAAAAAGTTTTGATTGTTGTAATCCATTGTCAGTCACGGCATCCAGCACTGTCACGACACCCACTCGCCAAAATTAAAAAAAAAAAAAAAAAAAACTGACACCCGCTGACCCGTCCACACTCGCCGAGCTCTTGCTGCTATCTGACATTTGCTGATCAGATGTAAACAATTGGGCAGATCTAGCGGTGATGTCAACGCTAGCTCTGCCCAGTTGTGCTGAGATTGGCCAAAGCATTGCACCTGTGGTCAGTTGCATTGCTTTGGCCAATCACAATGCACTGTCCGTGTGCAGTGCATTGTGGGGCATGGCGGGCGAACAGCCCACCAAATGCCCTTTCCATTCTTGTGTTTGGCAAACACATGAACGGCCAATGTTTGCATTGAACTTCCGTTCGACTCAAGCATCAAGTCCATCACTACTGTTTACATACCCGCTCACTCCCTATTTTAATTTGTGTGTGTCTGTGTGCAGTGCGACAGGGTTGCTTTTAATTTTTTTCTTTATTTTGATTTAATTTATTATTTACTTTTAGCGCATTTTCATTTAAAAGCTAAGTTCATTTTTACAGAAAAATAATAAATGCACATATATTTGTAGAAAAAAAAAGTGCATTTTATTATGTTTTGGATAGAAGCCTGCAAAACATTGAACCCAATATCAGTGGACAGTGAGTGCAATGCCAGGCTCCTGCAGACTCTTCCTTTCGCTCTATGTCTGTACCAAGGTAAGGGTTTTCAGTTGGAAAGTTCAAGGAAGTGTCAGTGGACTAGGAGTGTGGTGATGATCGCACTAGGGGTTCCATTGAGGACTAAAAGTCTGTCTGTCGCGGTGGCAGATGGAACCTTTAGTTCATTCATTCATGGATCCCTATAAATGAATGGCGTGGTTGTGTATGATGGGGTTTGGCAGTGGAGAAGGGGGGCCCATTTGCACTGTGTTATATGTTACATCCTAAATACGGGTGCAACATGGTGCAAAAGGTGGCATTAGTCTTTAACTTTATTAATATCACTAACAAGCCCCTTGTGTGATAGCATTGATAGGTGACAGGTCCTCTTTATGGAGATATCAGGGGTCTGCGAGCTGCAGCAAATGCATAGGTGTGAACCTAGCCTAAGTAAATGGAGATGCGGTAGCTGTATAAACTCACCCACAAAGCTGACTGACAGGTACGCAGGGATGGACACACGGGGGTATGTACCAATTCCTTTCAAACAGGGTTGTGCGGGTGAGTCTGTATAGCTGCTGAATCTTCATTTACTTATATGAATTGCCTGCATGTGGGGAGGTGCAGCATGGTTCAGGTAGTAAATACACAGACTCCAGTTGCAGTAAAACCTGGAACTTGCATTGAACAGAATGTCAGTGTTGCAATAGAGCGCCGCTAGGGAAATAACTCACAATTCAATGTTAAATGTGGCTGAGAGGGGTACCGACAGTGTCTGTTTCAAAGGATGAAGCACAACTTGGCCAGTCTGGTCCCAAGAGGGAAGCTCCTTTCCAGGATAGCAAGTCTCTAATCTTAAACCTAAATAAAATAAAAGCTGGGCTGCAAATATATTAATAAAAAGAATAACGTGAAATAAAAATATCTAAATAATAAACAAAACAATGAGTGTCCATAAAACAAGTCCATATAAGTGAAATAATCCGTAATGATTCAAATCATGTAATTCTTCACAGATAATGAAGCTTCTTCCAGTGCTCATACACCACACCATCAAAGTGCTACGATGTGCAGACGGGGTCACCTCAGTGCTCACAGAACGCTCACCTCCGAGCCAATAAATTGCGCTTTATACTACCACATTCAGATTCCTCTCTCGATAATCAACCATGTAGAAACGGTCAGACGCCTTTTAAGCTTTTAACCGCTTACCGACTGCCCTATAGCAGAAATACTGCTACAGGGCGGCACGGGTGTGCAAAATCACGTGTATATATACGTGATTCCGCATTTCCGGGTAGGGGGCGCGCATTGCTTTCTATGGGGGCACCCGACAGGAGGGAGGGGCCAGGAGCTTCAGCGGGGGACCTGAGCAAAGGAGGATCCAGGCTGCTCTGCAAAAGTAGGTAAATATTACATTTTTGTTTTTCTTTTTTTTTTAAAGCAAGACTACTATCACTTTAAGGACAACACTTAAGAGGTAGTAATCTTTTTAACCACTTCCAGTCCGGACACTTTCACCCCCTTCCTGTCCAGGCCAATTTTCAGCTTTCAGCGCTATCACACTTTGACAGTTGCGCGGTCATGCAACACTGTACCCATATGAATATTTTAGCATCTTTTTTAGACGGATAAAGCTTTATATTGGTGGTATTTATTCACCACTGGGATTTATATATTTTTTTTTTTTTTTTGCTATATAAATGAGAGTCCACAAATTTTGAAAGTGTTTTTCCTATAAAATTTTGCAAATAAAATTTCATCATACATCTTGGCCAAAATTTATTCCATTATCTTTTTAGTAAAAAAAATAACCCAAATTAGTTTATAACCAAAAATTATAATTTTTAAAAAAAAAAAAATTACATTTTTATTTTATTTTTTATATTATTGGTGACACTGTACTACTTGTGTGATGAAGATTTTTTTTTTTTTACACTGATTGATTTTACACCCATAAAGGCTGTAAAAGCATAGATTTCTCCTTCTCTAAGGCTGCATTCTTGCAGCCATTGAGAAATACTGTGTGAGCTGTGATTGGTCACAGCTTGTCACATGGTACAAGGCTGTTGTGAATAGCCTTGTACCATGTGACCTCTGTGATCATTCACAGATTTCACACGTAGTAAGCAATGATGTCAGAAGTGACATCTTGCTTACTACTTTGCATGTGATCACTGATTGGCCAATCAGTGATCACATGATCGGGACCTCGCACAGAGGTCCCGTACGACGATCAGAGGACACAGCGGGCACCAGATCGCGGTGCTGCACGCTCCCAGGGAGCGCACAGCACCAGGATCCGGTGCCCGCTGTGTCCTCCGATCGTTGGCACCCGCCCCTGCACTGCCACTGTCTGGCCGTTGATATACAACGGCCGGACGGGAAGTGGTTAAAAAAAAAAAACCCCCCAAAAAAACAATTTTAACTTGCAAGGTAGTATAATGTGCTAGTTTGCATCGCATACTTGCTTATTAGGAAAGACTTACCTTATAACTAAGCCCCCCACCGCTGACAGGGCTTCCATCTTCACCCGGTCTTCTGGGTTCACGGGCTGCGGCAGTGTAAGTGGCCTAGCCGCGATGACGTCACTCACATGCGCACATAGCTCCTTCAGAGCGCATGCGCTGGTGCACATTTAGGAGACAGACATTTTACCTTCAGGTAAGCTTTATTACACAGGTCTGCAAAAAATTTTTTCTCGAGCTGTATTGGTTATTCCACGTGATCTTTATGGTTTTTTTGGTGCGCTGAATCCGAAAATGACCTCCATTTTGTCATAGGACATCACGTTTCCTGACAATTTAGGTAACTATGTTAAATAAGGCAATACCTCAAAATAAATGGAAATAGACTTATAAAATTTAAAGTTTTATTACAATTTTTTCATGAAAATCCTTTTTTGAACTGAAATGAGCTCACCTACACACTAAACTTGATTCTTCTTCCCTGTGAGGCTCCTCTTGGTGCATTTACGCTTTTGAGTAGCATCTGGAATGTCTCTCTGAAGCATCCAACAGTAGTCTGCCATCATTGTAATGCTCCATTTTCCCTGGTATCTCCTTTCCATCTCTTTAATGTCTTGGTGGAATCGTTCACCTTGTTCCTCACTCACAGCTCCCACCTTTTTCAGGAAAGTAGTCAAGGTGGGACTGCAGGAAATGCACTTTGAAACTCATCAGGCAACCTAAAGCTTGAAATACTTTCAGCATTCGTCCGACGATCTTTTTGTAGTGAGGATCTTTATTGCCTAAAAATTTCTGTACGACTTCTTTAAATGCAATCCACCCTTCTTTTTGAGGATCCGTCATGGTATTGACAAACTCTTGATCAACTATAAGCCTTCTAATGTCTGGTCCAACAAACACACCTTCCTTCAATTTTGCCTCCGACAGGCCTGGAAACTTGGTGACCAAGTATTTGAAGCATTCCCTGTCTCTTGGAAGTGATTTTACGAATTGCTTCATCAATCCCAATTTTATGTGGAGAGGTGGTAGAAGAACTTTATGGGAAGGTACCAAAGTTTCTCGGAGGACATTTTTTTTCACCGACTGTTAGCACCCTCGGCTGCCAACTCTTCTTGGTCCAGTGATTTTGTCAGTCTCGACTGTCCCATAGACACAGAAAACCAAGGTATTTGGTATCCCACCCACTGGATTCTTCAGGAAAGATCAACCCCTTCTACCATTAGAAGCACAAACTCAGGGCTGAGGCTTACACATACAGCATGCTGCTGAGTATCCCAGTAGTCAGACATGTCACTCGGAGCAGCACTTGTATTCACCCCCTTTGCGGGGGAGGGGCAGAGATTGTTTACCTGCAAATAACAACAAAAGGCCAGAAGAGAAACTAGGGAAATGAGGAAATAGAATTTTTTTCCCTAAAACTTGCTTAGCTTATGTATATGTTGCTGACCATCAGATTTACAGCGCTATATTTATATTTACATAACTCGAACAACCCCTTTAAGGTTTTTTTTGGAATTTTATATCTTCAGTGCACTTGTGTGAATTAATTAATAGTAATTTGGACTTTAAATTTGGTTAAAAACCCATAATATAAAAAAAATACCAAAAATGTGATAAATTTGAAGCCAATTTTGCATTTTGTGGCAAATCATGACTTCTAGGAGTTTTTTTTTCAATATTTTATTTGTTTTCAGCACACCAAAATACATGGAAATTAGATGAAAATAATCAAACAGCTTTTTAGTCGCAGACCTGTGTTATAAGCCTCCCTGTAGGTGAAAGTCAAAGAACGCACTTTACTACCACTAACAGAAATTACAAAACCTACCTGCTCCGTACGTTTACTGAAAAACGGACTACAGTGTTTCTGCAAAAATATACACAGGAAATATGTCAAGGAAACGTGGCCTCCACTTTTCATGAGTTGTCTATTGGTTGTTATATTAACCACTTGAGCTCCTGAGGATTTACCCCCCTTAATGACCAGGCCTCTTTTTGCTACCTGGTGCTGCACTAATTCAACTGATAATTGCGCGGTCATGCAATGCTGCACCCAAACGAAATTTACGTCCTTTTTTTCACACAAATAGAGCTTTCTTTCGGTGGTATTTGATCACCTGTGCGCTTTTTATTTTTCACGCTATAAACAAAAAAGACCAAAAATTTTGAAGAAATACGATATTTTTTACTTTCAGCTATAAAAAATATATAGTAAACTCAAAGTTACCGGTAGTTATAAATTTAGGCCAAAATGTATTCTGCTCCATGTTTTTGGTAAAAAAAATCCCACTAAGTGTATATTGATTGGTTTGTGTGAATGTTATAGCGTCTACAAACTATGGTATAGATTCTGCAATTTACGCAATTTTTTTGCTATACAGCGCTGTGCTAGTTTAACGAACAATTGCGCGGTCATGCAATATGGTACATAAATGAAATTTATGTCCTTTTTTTCACACCAATAGAGATTTTTTTTATGTGGTATTTGATCGCCTGTGCGTTTTTTATCTTTTGCGCTATAAAAAAAAAAGGCTGACAATTTGTTACATTAAGGCCCCTTTCAGATGGGGTGGAGCCGTCAGTGTGATCCGCCTGCTCAGTGGGGGATCTCTCTACTCAGCAGGCGGTTGACAGGTATCTGTCCAACACAAACACAGTCTGCTGATTAAAATGGGATGGTCAGATGGAAAGGGACCACCTGACCATTTCCACCCAATTGGCACCTGATCTGATCTGCTGGATGGATGAGGAACGGATCCCCATCTGTTTTTGGCTTACAGGATCAGATCGGATGCTGGTGGATGTCAGTGGACTATTGCCCGCTAACACCTGCTGGTCCATAGTAGTCTATGTAGAATGTCCGCCGCAGTCCCGCCATAAGTCACCGATTGCCGCCATTATTAGTATAAAAAAAAAATTAAAAATCCCAGTATCTTTCCCGCCATTTGTAAATGCTATGACTTTCACGTAAACCAATTTAATTTACAAGTATTGGGGTTTTTTTTTTTTTTTTTTTTAGCAAAGACATGTCGCAGAATGCATTTTGGCCGAAATTTATGATGAAATTTGATTTTTAAATTTTTTTTACTGGACATGTTTTATAGCAAAAAGTCCAAAATATTATTTTTTCTCAATTGTCAGCCTTTTTTTTGTTATTGCGCAAAAAATAAAAACCGCACAGGCGATCAAATACCACAGAAAGAAAGCTCTATTTGTATGAAAAAAAGGACATAAATTTAATTTATGTACCGTATTGCATGACCGCGCAATTGTCTGTTAAACTAGCACAGCGCTGTATAGCAAAAAAAATGGAGTAAATTGCAGTATCTATACCAGCAATGGGCAAACTACGGCCCGCGGGCCGTATACGGCCCGGCGGACCTTTTAATCCGGCCCGCAGAGCTAGGCTCCTGCTAGGCTCCTCTCACAGTCCGCCCTGAAGACCGGTGTAGCATGAAAATCTGTCTCCTATGAGGATCTGTCCCCCTCGACGTATCTGCGCATGTGCCGGAGATCGCCGATCGGCTGCTAATGCCTGAAACTGGCACATGCGCAGATACGTCGAGGGGGACAGATCCTCATAGGAGACAGATTTTCATGCTACACCGGAACGGCGCGGGAACACGGCGAGAGGAACGCGCGGAGCAAAGGTAAGTGAATTGACACAGGGGGGACTTGGGGACTTAATATGGGGGATGAACTACTATATGGGGGGTGAATTACTATATGGGGGGTGAATTACTATATGGGGGGTGAATTACTATATGGGGGGTGAATTACTATATGGGGGATGAATTACTATGCTTACTATGGATGACACATACACATCATTCATCTATTCTTGGTCCGGCCCCGGGTCCAATATATGAACCCATTGCGGCCCTCAAGTCAAAAAGTTTGCCCAGCCCTGATCTATACCATAGTTTGTAGACGCTATAACTTTCACACAAAGCAATCAATATACACTTATTGGGATTTTTTTTTACCAAAAACATGGAGCAGAATACATTTTGGCCTAAATTTATAACTAACTTTTTGAGTTTACTATATATATTTTTTTTCTATAGCCAAAAGTAAAAAATATATTGTTTTTATTTTTCACGCTAAAAAACAAAAAAAGACCAAAAATTTTTAATAAAAAGCGCACAGGTGATCAAATACCACCGAAAGAAAGCTCTATTTGTGTGAAAAAAAGGACGTAAATTTTGTTTGGGTGCGCAATTATCAGTTGAATTAGTGCAGCGCTGAGTAGCAAAAAGAGGCCTGGTCATTAAGGGGGGTAAATCCTCAGGAGGGCAAGTGGTTAAAAAAAAAAAAACCTGCATTTTCTTTCATTTCTGTTACACAGTTTTGCAAATAAGTAATTTTTCTTCATAAATTTGGGCCAAAATGTATACTGCTACATTACTTTGGTAAACATAATCCCAGTCGATGTGTGTTATTTGGCCTTTGTGGAAGTAAGGCTGCTTTCACATTTGAGGAGTTTTTCAAGCAATTTTTCGTTAGACATACATTCACATACACAGGGAAGCAGTTTTCTTGAGCTTTTCATGTGTTTATGTATGTTTTCACACTGAGGCATTGTGAGTGCGGTGTAAAAACTCCTACTTGCAGCATCTTTGGGGGCATGTTTGGGGAGTTTAAAAAAAAAAAAAAGAAAAAAAGCTACAAAAACGCCTCTTCCCATTAAACTCAATGGAAAAAAAACGCCTGAAAAGCCTCTGAGAATTGT